AAATATATCATTTTAGGGTTTTTTTTTGTTTTTGTTTTGGTTTATTTTAAACTTGACTGAAACAACTTTCAGTATGTTTACCCTRACTGAACAATCTCACTCTTTGGGGCAAGGTAAGGACACTGTCCATTGCTGGTTATAGACATGATAGGAATTAATGGCTCGTTAATGTGGAAATTTTAGAGCATATGTGTATCTGCATGGAATTAGATCAGTGAACAGCAGACAAAGAAAGAGACTTTTTTTTTTAAAGGGCAAAGAGAATTTACAAATACTTGTATTTTTCATAAATTGTAAGATTTTTGKTGTGCTGCCTTCAGGAGATAGATTTTTTATATGGCTAGTTAACAGGTTAACACTTCCTTTCAGATACTCAGCTGACATCTGTTGTGAAGCCATTCACATAGTGCTCATACCTATTCCAGATCTGTTCAACAGAAGCCACCTAGTTGAAATTTTCTTCTTCCCTAAGGCTTTAGAAAATTAACTCTTTAAAATTTTTCCTGAACTCATTAAGATTTTTGTATGTTGGTTTGTACAGAGTTTGTCTTGGATTTCCAGTGTGCACTGTGACAAAAATGTTTGTTTTGTTCTAATTCAGAATAACACAGAATGAACTAGGTTGGAAAAGATCTTTGGAGTCCAGCCTATGACCAAACACCATCTTGTCAACTAGACCCTGTCACTGAGTGCCACATCGCCTTCAGGGAAAGTGACTCCACCACCTCCCGGGCCAGCCCATTCCAATGCCCAGTCACACTCTGTGTAAAGAACTTTTTCCCAATGTCCAGCCTAAACTTCCCCTGGTGCAGCTTAAGGCTGTGTCCTCTCATCCTGTCACTGGTTGTCTGGGAGAGGAGACCAATCCCCACCAGGCTGCATCCTCCTTACAGGGAGTTGTGGAGAATGCTGGGGTTCCCCATGAACCTCCTYCAGGCTGAACAACCCCAGCTCCCTCAGCCTCTTCAGGATTTGTGCCCCGGACCCTCCACCAGCCTTGTTGCCCTTGTCTGGATATGTTTGAGCATCTCAATGTCCTTCCTAAACTGAGGGGACCTCAGAACTGGACACAGCACTCAAGGTGCTGCCTCCCCAGTGCTCAGTACCGGGGGACAATCACTGCCCTGGTCCTGCTGGCCACACTGTTCCTGATACAGGCCAGGATGCCACTGGCCTTCTTGGCCATGTGGACACACTCCCCACAGGATAAATCTGTCTGTGGAAGCCTGTGTTCTAGATGGAGATAATTTAATCTTTTATTTTCTTGGCCTTTGTCTTGGTGTGTAATATTTTTCTCCTGTTTTAAGGATGGAAAAGATGGATATTTTCAAATTAATCCTGTCAGTCCAAATTGGTCTTAACCATAGAGCAGATTTTTTTAGATCTTTCTGGACTTTCAGAAAAAAACCCTATAGACGATTGCTTTTACTCTGTCCACTTGCATTGTGATGYTCTCTTGCCATAAGAACATTCCAGTTAAGTCCAATCCCACTGTTGTAAGCTTCGGGTGGATCCCAGTCTATTTTCTTTCTCTCAGATTCCTTTGGAGGTGGTATCTATGTGTACATATGTAAGAACTTCTCCCTAAAACACTCAGTTGCAGAAAAAGGCTTGAAAACACCACTAATCAGATTGTTTGTTAGTAAAAATGGGTACTACCTGATTTTTAAAAACCTCCTCCTATTTCACTTCCCTATCAAATCTTTTAAAATGTTCTGATTAAAGCAAACAAAATYCTAGAGCTGTGTATGTGACACCACTCATGACACCTGGACTTCTGTGCTACTTGCAGTGTTTGATACTGCATGGATCCATCACTGGATGGATTCTGGARATCTCTCATGGTCAGGCATRTGTGGGATGGTTCTAAGTTGTGGGAAGATGATGGTGATGGTTATTTTTGAGGTAATTCCATGTACGCTGAATGGTCCTACCCACTTTGCCTCAGACATCTGGCAKGTTTCGGAGTGGTCATTACGTTTTCTGGTCAAGAGTGCAGTTACCACTAGTCATTCCTCATCCCATATTCACAATGCCTTTGTGAACTGAAGAACTCTTTGAGAAGCCTGGAGTGACTGGTGAGGTGGCAGATGATGACTTGTGGCACTTGTGTCCATGCCTTTGGCAAGAGGCCGTAAAGCTTTGGATTTAGGCAAGGAGGGGGCAAGAGATACCTTATGCCTGAATCAGCTTTCGCTGATAATACACACATCACCATGCARCCTAGGAGTGTAGATAGCAAAGACACTGCTTTAATGATCTTTCTTAATTACAGAACTTTCCATTCACAAAATGGAGCTGGATAAATTGAATTTCTTATCGTTAACAGTATTATTCAACTTATATTGGATTTGGGGTTGTACCACCACAGGTTTTATGTACTTAATTTTATTAAGGAATTTTATACCTATTATATAGGCATCTATTGTTTTCTTGTCTGGCTTGCTATTTGATAATATAATGCAGTACATTCAGTGGCGCTGCACTCTTTCAGAAATTATACTGGTAATTCCTGGTGCCTTAGTAAAAAAGTGGGTACATAACACCTTGGTGGAAGGTAAAGCATGTGACTTGTTTCACCCCAGCATGATATGCGTATTTCTAAAATGGTGATTAAGATGGCTGCCCCAAAAGATTTTGGGAGTATACCTACATCACTTGGTCATAAGCATTTGAATATGAGCAATTTTTATGACTTCTGGTATGTACAGTTTGAATAGATAATCCCAGTACACTTAGGCCACAACTTTGAAAGATGGCAATCAAATMGCTGGGTATGTAACTACTTACACAGATGCCCCCAAAAGCTTGACAATAGCTGCTGGTTAGGAAATGGAGAGAGGGGAGTAGAGCATTAATGAGTGGATGGCTTTGGTTTTTAATGGACAATGAAAATATATATTGCCTCTACCAGCAAACGGTTACCTTGCCAGGGATAGGGATATATGTACCTGCGTGTCTGTGAGTGTGTATGTGTCTGCGTGTGTTACTGGAAACAGCCTGTAAATATTGTAGCTGTTCAAAATGGAAAAGGCAGAGAGTTTTTTTGCAACATGTTGCAGCAAAAGGACAGTATTGACAGTGGAGAAACACTGAGAAATAAAAAAAAAACTTTTTTTCACTTGTTGTCATTTATTGCACAATTACATTCTCATAAGATGTCCTTTTCACAAATTTGATATAACGACTTCTAAGTTTACTCAAATTATCCTTTAATGAAAGATTCTCTTGATGAAAAATTCTCTTGTAGCTATGCAAAGAATAACATTCCTGTTTTACTGCCAGCATCATCCCTSTTTTCATGCTTTTACATATATAAGTGCAGCATGCCCTCTCTTCTGCAGTTAAAACRATTTGCCTTGAAGCATTTTCTCTGTGATTTACCTTCTCTTGAATGTTTTTGAAGGCCAGAACACTCTTGTACTGTCTTTGTGTTTAGTAACTTTTCATATTTCATACTTCGCAGGGAAATACCTTACCTGGTGTGGTTTAATTGGCCATTTCTAATTTTCTGCTGTCCTTGTTCTGATAGCCAGATGCAGCATTGGGTGAAGTCCTGATGACCAGTGTGCTTACATGAAGTATTTTGTGACAGAGTTAATTATACTAGTTTAAAAATACTCAGCTGCTGTCCATTCTCTCAAATTTCTTCATGTTCACACAGAGACAATATCATCTTGCCCCTTGGAGTCTGAAAAACCATTTCTACCATAAACAAGGCTGTTTGGACAGCTCTGCCTCTTTAAAGATTGGATGTTTTCTTTACCTAAACAAAGTATCTGCAACTTTTCTACTGTTTGCCTGTGAGAGTTGCCTCATAGCTGCTTCTGGCCACAATTTAAGAATGAGAGGAGAATGCAAGTAAGAACACTTGCCTTAAGGAAGAACAACTTTTTTTTTTTTTTTTTAAACATAAGCAAGTCAGTCTCAGTGAAAAGATCAAAAGTTCTGTAACTGTAGTGTTTATCAGAAGCAGTTGAGCTTTCAGCTGGCAGTATCAAAAAAGGACAAGCAGCACTTCAAGACTGATTTGGGTGTGTCAAAGGGTAAGATTTTTGCTGTAGTCCACTGTTTCTTGCTGTCAGCCACAGGCCTGCAGTGGGTAAAAGCTGGGGGAATGGTGCCCTGGTTAGTGGTTGGAGGCTATTTCCAAGTGTAGTTTGGCCTAAGRAAAATCCAGTTCACATATTCAACGAATCTATCCCTGTGAGCCCATGTAGGACCCGGGAGCAGGGTCTTCTACCTCACCYACCTGCTGTGTGTGAGTGTAATGCCTATTGCAGGGCTTCCTTCCTTGTGTGCTAAAGATGGTTCTCTATCGTATTTTTAACTGGCCTTCCTCTGACCCATAACTCGTATAGAAAGATGATACTTGGGTTCCGGCACTTTTTAGAGCTCCTTGGTTCCATCAGTTACGTGAATCATCAGAAGCTGGTGTGGGTTTCCTTCCGAGCTGCCGCGGCAGAACACCGTGTGCTGGTGGGGCGCCGCTGCTCTCACGGCTCGCCGAGCTGCCGGTGCGAAACCGCGGGGCCCGAGCGCTGCTCTCCCGCCTGGAGCTGCTCCTGCGAGCGGCGGCCGGGCAGCCTCCCGGGGGCCGTGCCTTGTCCTGAGGGGCCGTGCCTTGTCCTGAGGGGCCGCGCGGCGTCCTGAGGGGCTGTGCCTTGTCCTAAGGGGCTGTGCCGCGTCCCGGGGGCTGTGTCTTGTCCTGAGGGGCTGTGCCGCGTCCCGGGGGCTGTGCCGCGTCCCGGGGGCTGTGCCGCGTCCTGAGGGGCTGTGTCGAGTCCTAAGGGGCTGTGTCGAGTCCCGACGGGCTGTGCCGAGTCCCGGGGGCTGTGCCGCGTCCCGGGGGCTGTGCCTTGTCCTGAGGGGCTGTGCCGCGTCCCGGGGGCTGTGCCTTGTCCTAAGGGGCTGTGCCGCGTTCACCGGCGCGGGCAGTGAGCGGGCGGGCGGGCGCGGCCGGCAGGGGCCGCCAGAGGCGGGCGGGGTTCGGTGTGTGGGAGCGGAGCTGCGCGGGAGCGGGCCCGGCGGGCTCTGGGCCTGTGCGTGCAGCGAGCCTGTGTGAGCAGCCCCTGCCTTTCCCCCCGCTCCTCTGCTSCGGCCTTGCCTTTGGATTGTGCTTCCAGTGATGACTCTTTAACCCCCACTCTCTCCACAGGCATCCAGCTCTTCCCGTTAAACCGAGCGGTGAGTCTGCGCTGCTGGGCCGCCCCRGGACCTTGCGCGGCCCCGTGTCCTTCCCTCTGCGCCTTATTTCGATATGTGTATTAAGTTATCACAAAGAAAGGAAGACATTCACCTACCCCCTTAATTATTTCCTTTCACTGACCGTGATCCCATGTCCAGGGGAGTAAGAAGAAGAGGAGAACAAATAGCAAGACAAAGGACGACAAAGATACTGGGAGAAAGACACATGAGGAAAGAGGCCACTTTTGTCTTTCTAGAAACCAAAACAGATGGAGTGACCAGCTCCAATATAATTTTTCAGCTTCTTGCTAGTAGTCCTACTATGTCAAAGTGAACCAGAGGTGAATTCCCCAAAAGTGCAAATTAATTTTGAATGCAATTCTGATTTAGCAGACATCAATCTTGGAAACTACTAAAAAAGTTGTAATGGGCCCCTTTCTTTACTCAGTGTATTGTATATATTATGGTGCATCATCACCCTCAGGCAAAATTACAAATTAAGCCTTGGTTAAAGGGCACAGTGCTCTTGCTCCTTTGTGATATTGGGAATGAAATGTTTGCTGTTTCCACATGTGGTTCTTGGGAATGCATGTCTAACTCCTGCAACCCAAATGTGTATCCATACTGCAGCTGCATGTGCTGTATCCACCTCCCCACTCTTCTGCTTGTCCTGACCACAGTGCCTGCCAGCCCGTTTGCCTGCTGCCAGCTCAAAGGGAGCCACATCTGAACTCTGACATACCTTTTTTTTTCCCAGTTTGGCGTGATGTAGGGTGCATTAGGGCTAAGGAAGCCAGCACCYATAAGAAGAGACAGCCCTAACATCATATGAAAGTGCCTCTGCTGGTGATATTTGAGTCAAATGGGCACCCTCTGCATGGACAGGTCTTCCATCTATTGTGTGAACCCTCCAGCCCAGGTAARGATTAGATGCCACCTGGGAGCTTGTGCCTGGATAACTTGTGCTGGTTTGGTATCTGCATGGGGGAGCATCACAGGATGGCTTGGGTTGGAAGGCACCTTCAAAGATTATCAGTCCAACACCCCTTCCACAAGTTGCTCAGAGCTCCATCCAGCCTGGCACTGAACATTGCCAGGGATGGGGCATCTGCAGCTTCTCTAGGTAACCTCTTCCAGTCCTTCACCACCCTTATAGTAAAGAATTTTTTTCCTAGTATCGAATCTAAACCTATCCTTCTTTAGCTTAAAATTGCTGTTCTTTGGTCTTTCACTAGGGGCCTTGGTAAAATGTCTTTCTCATAAGCCCACTTAATACACTGAAAGATGAGGTGGCAGTTGGGTGTGAGAAACTGGGAGCTCTAGACATCAGAAACAACATTACCTACTGCAAAGCCATTTAACAATTAACGCTGCTGTCAAATAACCAAGCGGGACCCACCTGAAGGGTGATTCAGTGAAAGCCCTGTACATCAGGGCCGAGTCTCGCCATCCCTTCATTCTTGCAGTTGCAGCAGGTGTTGGAGCACTTTGGAAGCTCTGTGTGTGTGCCGGGCGATCCCTGCGAGCCCCCAGCCGCTCCATGGCTCCATGGCCTCRCGTTGTGCGGCCCCTCGTGCATAATGAGAGCAGGAAGTGACCCGTGTGATGAGTAATTGCTTGGAGCGCAGCACTGGCCGCTATTATGAGTTCATCTGTACGTGATGTTGCACTGCATGGCTCCCTAACTATTTTCAACRCAATTGATTTTCATTATGGAAAACACACTCCCTGAAGGAGATGGCAGCGGTGATGAGCRGTGTCACAGTGGAGCAGGGCTTCATATTGGGCACAAAATGCACCATGGAAATACGTATCAGTGTCAAGTTTGGGGGAATTGGTGCTTTTTCCACTGCTRTTCCAAGCCCAAAAACCCATGCTCACCCTTCCCTGTGGCCAAGAAACTGTCAGCACTAGGGGAAAAAGGAAGGAGGGGATCAGCCCCTTGCCTCTCTCACCCCTGGCTACTGCAGCTCATCAGGGGAGGGAGCAGGTAGGTCCCCCTGAGCTCACGGTCACCCCTGATCCCCCTACTGCGGGAAGAGGGTGAATGCTGTGCTGCTGCCCCTGTGAGCCCTTGGCATGGACATGTCTGGAAATCTGTACGGGGATCATCCTCCCATTGCTGTATCAGGTTTCGGAGGCACGCCATGACTTACTGCTAAGGTATTCTCTTTTTTATTAAGTAGTTAGCAGTGGCTGTACTAGAGATTAGTGGAGAATGACAGGGAAAAAACCCAAACCTTACAGATTACTTTTACAGTCAGGTTTGGTGTACCAGTCCTCCTACGCCTGCATTTCTCTCCCAACAGGAGCCAAATTGCACAGCTTTATGTAACCAGCTATTTAAAGAGTGCCTTGAAGGAAGGCAAAAACACCACCTACCCCCCACCCCCGGCACCCTCACCCCCAGCACCCCCTGCCCTCTTCCAGGTGTGTGGGCTGCCCATGGCCTGGCTGCCCCTGCAAAGGCACCTGCAGCCTGAGTGCTGCTGCTTAAACATGCCCAAATGCCCTCTCCATGCCTGATGTGCATCCAGATGCCCAAGGTACATCTGTCCCTGTCTGTGCCTCGGGAAACTGCCTCTAGCTCTAGTGTGTCATTGGATGAGGTGTTTCTGTGGTCGGGGGGTGGGAGTAGAGAATGAGGGGAGGGAGTTTACACCATGCAAAACATAAACTGGGCAATGTGTTCAAGCCCAGAGTCTTTGCTTGCCCCTCTGTAGAATGCATTTTGGGCAGGGTGAGCAGTCATTCAGCCCTGTGACCATGACCAGACCTTTCAGAGTAGTGCAGGGGCAGTTCTGGRCTTGCTGAAGTGCTCCCAGGACCTCCTATTCTGTATGTGTGTGCATATATATCTACACAGACACTCATTTCTGAAACGAAGGCTGTCTTACAGAGCTGTGACCTGGGATGTCTGCAGCAAACTGGGCATCACACAGAGATTTAGGCATAAAGCACRTGGGTTGCATGAGCAGGAAGCTGGAAGAAAGCTCTGGCTGTAGCTCAGTGTTCATCCCGAGCCCACCTTGGGGATTTGCTACAGAGCGCTCACACCTGTGCTGCAAATGCCTATTCATTTTCATCCTGAAAATGTTTTACAAACAATGCCTGAGGACAAGCATGGCTTTACTGGGTCTCTCTCTCTCATTCATTAACATGCAGATGTTCAGCTTACCTAAACTGTTCTCTAAAYTTTTCCTCACAGTCCTAAATGACACTTGGGAGGATGCAAAGGGCAGCAGTGAGGGGAGCTGTGCCTTCATAGTGCACATAATTCCAAAACAGTAATGTAAAATACATAATTGCTTGAGCAAGAACTGCTTAAAATGTGAATTCTAACTCAGCTGGCAGCTCCTCTAACAGGGGCCAAGGATGCTGTGGGAGAAGGTGTCTGTACAGAGGTTGAAACTGAGCAGCRAGGCACGGGGTGCAGGATTGCTGTCAAAACTCTGCTGCTATGGTGACTTTTGGTTAAATTTAATTGTTTCCACCTCCCTTTTCATGCCTTCTCATAGATGAAAACAGTTTTATCCACCTCATGAGAGAGAAGTGTTGTGGGAGGCAATTTACRTATATTTATRTATATATAAAAATATGTCATGCTATAAAGGTTTTTCTAATATGGATGCTGATARAGACTTCAGATTTTTCTCATTTTTGGGGGGAGGCACAATTTATGAATTAACTCAGTCATCACTGAGCTAGAAGCCAGCCAGGAAAACAGATCAACCCCATGAGCACTGCCATTCCCAAGGAAAATCCAGACTGCAGTTGTAGCCCCTTTCCTTACAGTAGCAGAGCCACAGCTCTGAGGTGGGGGGCTTTGCAGCACTTCACAGGGGTCAGAAGAAAAGCCTTTGGAGTGATATAAACATGCCATATGCCCATGTAAGTCTGGTTGCCTTTGACAGGAAAAGGGAAAATACCTGGGAGAAATAACTTCTGTGAATAATACCTGCCCAGGGAAAGGGGAGCTGCTCACGCTGTTTTCACCACAGGAGCACTGTGTCTCGTGAACTCTTTGCTGTGGGCCTCCTTCCCTGTATCACTGCTTCTTATTTTGCCTGCACCTTGCTTATTGTACTTTGCCATAAGCTACATTCCGCTCACAGATCTGGTCTTTTGTTCGTACACCTCCTTATACAGTATGGCCTTTGAACACTTATGGTAACATGATTATTTTAGGGCATTGACAGCTGTTCAGACTTCCTTTATAGTATTGTTTAGATCCTTTTTCTTCAAATGTGAAAGTACTGCTATTGCAGGCTGTGCTGGTAATGCAGACTGAAGCCAGTTTATTTTAATATGTATGAGATTTTTTCTTATGCAATATGGGAACCTTTCTGAAGTCGAAATGAGTCATTACTCCCTCATAAACCCGCTGCAGACGGTCTCCTCCACTGGCAGAAGCTCAGAGCCTTCTCCGTGTTATGCCACTTGCAAAGAAATGGCTCTGTGTCTCTCTCTGTTTTTCTTCCTCTCCCCCTGCTGCCCCTGGCTTTTCACAGTAATTGCCATTCTCCTCCATTGCCACAAGTACAGGGAGAACTACAGGAAATTATACTGCTAATTAAGCTATGGAAGAGAATACAAAAGCCCTAAACTATAAATACTCCATCTGTRTTAAAAACCAGTGACATGTATTATCCTTGCTGGTTGGAAGCCAGCACAGCCAGGGAGGTAGGCAGAGACTTTGGGAGCAGGCAGTGCAGGCAGCACGCTGTCAGAGAGCCTCTCCTGCCCCCAGACTCAAGTCACAGCATTGCTGCAGCAAGAAATCAGGATCACAAGCAAAGCCACGATTCCACGTTATCCAGCTTTTCTAAATACAAGCGGCACCAAAATACAGGTGATGCCTGTCAGGATTTTTATATACCACCAAGCWTAGAGCAACAGTTTCTAGCAGCAGCGTCGTCTGTGGTGATGGGATGAAGCCCAAAGGTCGCTCGTAGCCTCTGCAGCAGCTCCCCCAATGAAGGTGTGCGCTGGTGCTTTAGTGCACCCCAGCCCCCTGCACCCCCTCACAGACCCGCTGCTGCTGCCTGGAGCATCGCCCASGGTTCAGCCTGCTGGTGCCTGGAGCAGCTGTCTGGTGCCTGCCTCATCCACACCCAGTGCCTGCAGGTCCTGCCAGCTGGTGGGGCTACAGGGCCTTCCAGAAGGATGACTCCTCAGGAATTCCTTGAGTGTGGAACAGGTACCTTGGCTGGGTGCCATTCATTCCCTCTGAACACCTACTTCCTGCCTGGTGCTACCATGTCATGATGTACCTGCGTGAATCTGTTCTTTGTGTCATTGGCCAAGTTCCTGCCTGTAAAATCCTGAATTTTGTGCAGAGGCATTAAAACCACTTGGTGTTAATTTGGTACTGAGGCAAGTGGCTGAAGAGGTAGAGCGAGTGCTGGGAGTGGTTCCTGCAGCTGAGCAGCCTTGGCAAGGTTTGCTTTCTGCTACTGCACCCACAGGCTGCACCCTGGCTATGAGGTTTTTCTTTACAGCCAAACCAAGTTAGGTTTGGAGCAATCCACACTTTTTTGGTTTTGATGGAATTTAAGATGTTCCCATTCTTCACAGGCAAGAGATTTAAGAAAAATACCCAATATTCAGAAAAAAAAAAAATAAAAGACCTTGATACTGGGCGATGCTGTGTATGCACAAAACTTATGTTTTCTAGGTCATTGAAATGGCTTAAATAAGCACTTAGAGGAGCTGAGGTGTGATCCACAAAAGTACTTACACAATACTACTGGTCACTACAAATAATTCAGTTCAAAATCTCAGTCCTCAAGACCCGTGCCAAGATGCTGAGTTGACGCAAGTGAAGAACTTCATGCCCATTAACCAGAGCTGCAGGAGGTACTGGTAGCACTCCTTGGCCCTAAAATGGTGCAGCCAGCACAAGATCAATTAGCTARA